GATCTAGTTAGTGTTCACTGAAACCTCATCAGAAATATTTTGATGCATGCTCAATCATCCAGGTAAGGAAAACCCAAAAGGCTGATTCTGTTCATCTGGACGCAGCATTTCCAGTACTTACTTCTGCAGACACGTCACTTGGATGAGTGACAAAATGTTTCTCCCACTTAAAAACACTACATCCAGATGAACAGAATCAACCTTTTGGGACTGGTCAGCAATGGTCTCAGTAGAAGGTTGGCCATCAAGAATCCATTCTTAAACAAAGACAACAAGGAGAAAAGGCTGATGCATGACAAATTACTGAACAACTGGACTAAAAATCAGCGGCAACAGGTCTTACAGAGTGAAAATTGAAAATTTGAAAATGTTGGTTCAAATTGTTGTCAGTATGTGCAGATGAGTTCAAGAGAGAGGTCCAACAGTGAGTGTTCACAGTCATCCGGGAAACACAGTGGAGATTCTGTCATGGTCGGAGCTGCATGTCAGCTAGTAATGTTGGGGATGGAATTATGCATTCAAAAAAGTCCAACAGATTTCGATCCACCACGCAGTACCATCTGGAAAGGATCTCATTTATTTTTCAGCATGACAGCGATCTGAAGCATATTGCCAGTGCAATACAAACAGACCAAGATAGCAAAACACACGATGAGGCACTAACAGTCATAGATGCCACCAATCACCAAAAGCCCAGATTTTAACATTACTTAAGTAGTGCGGGATCATCTTGACAGAGAATGCATTTTCCTAGCAATATAAAAAAGAAATGAAGAATGACTCAAGGCTTGCACATATTATTGTATTAATATCTATCAAATACTAAAATTGCCTACAAATTAAGAGCAGTACATAGTAAAAGAAAAACAAAAAACAGAAACACACACTGTCCAAATAACAATTTGTTTGAGTCAAGGGGTAAATGAGGCCAAGAAAGACAATCTAAAAACATCTACAATTATTTTATTGTCAAACTAAAATTGTTCAGCTATTTACACTTTACAAGCTACTGTAAATATGCAACACAAATATAAAAGGCATACATTTATATACATTATTTATATAAAGTCACCAAAGTCCAGAGGCATTGTTATCTACTTGTAGCGACGTTATAATTAACTTCTTGAACTACAGCTCTAGTAACATATCACATAGATTTTCTTACATACATGATGGATTAACATTTGATATCATGTGGTGGCACATGTTTAAAAGCTATAGCATTTTAAAGCAGTAGGTAGTCAGTTGTTATTTTGGCAAGATCCCTTAAAGTAACCCCAAGATCCCTTTAGTAACTTTGGTTACTGAACTTGATGAGACTAAACCTCCAATAACACTACAAGGAGCACAGCAAGTAAATGTGACAAAACAATACTGAAAAGGATACTGGATATTTCTTCTGCTCATGATTAGTCTGAAAAAAAAAACCCCACTTAACCTGGAGTCAAAACTGCTACAAAAAACAGAAAATAGAGTTATATATAAATAAACTGAGAATTTGTCCTTGACTTTTCTAAAGTCTGGGAGTTGTTATACAATATAAAACCATCTTTGGGTAGAAGTATTTGTCATAAGCTTTTCTCACTTTTCACCATGAGAAAAATTTCCATTGGTTTAAAAGCTGTGAATTTATGGTTTATATTCATATATATTACATAATCTAAAGCCCCTGTAGTCTGTGAAAGCATACTCCTATGTAGTTAGTCATACCCGTTATGGGTGTTGAGATCACTTTAAGCCAAAACTTGGGAGGTATTCCTCAACACACATGAATTAAACTAAAAAAAAGTCTTCTCTCTCTGAGCGTAATGACAGTAATCGTAATAGTCTGAGGGTTTTTTTTTAAGAACGACTTTTTAACACGTAACACAAAACAGATTGGGACTTCAGTACGCTTCACTATAAGATGCCAAATGCACAGTTATTACTTAACATCTCTATGTGACAGTGCTGGAAGGCAAATCTCTGCTCACTACACCAAATACAGAACAGACTTGACATCATGCAAAAAGATTAACTTCATGTTTATGGCCAACAAGACCAAGCAAATTACTATCAACTAGCGAAGCAATGATAATGCGACAGAATAACAAAAGCATCATCATCACATCGATCTATCAAATTAACTCATTTTAATTTTACAGATTTCCAGCAGGCAGAGCCAAAAAACAACAACAACAACAACAAAAAAACCCAACAACTCAGAGGTCAGAGGTCAGAGGTCCAAACTGAATTACAACTAGAAACTACATTTTCTTCATTTTTACCTAGTGGCATCTAGCAATGGATGACGTTTTGGTTTTATTTGCTTATTTTTTTTTAGATATATACATCGTGTCTATACATTTGTTTATAAAATTCCTATTAAACCCTGGGTACAACCAAACTATTTACATGGCCTTTATTTATGCATTTGGAATCTGGGCAAATACATCCTTTAAATTTTAACCACGGGTGATTAAAAGTGAGCGAATAGTTGGGATAGTTTGGGAAGATGAACATTCTCTTTGATGCTGCTTAAAATTAAACGAGATCATCACCAGTTTTACGTCTTACGATAAATATAAAAGTAGAGCTACCTAGCTGTTATCTTAGCTGAGCAAAAAGACTGGAAACTGTACATAACATGCTCATTACTGGGCTTTAAACGTTCATGTAGGTGTTCTTTTTTTATCCATGAAAAGCGTGGCACTTGTTTAGATTAATTTTTTTTAAACCCAGTCATCATCCAACTTGTAAATTGTAGTGATGTGGTAGAGTAAAGAAATTATTTCTGAAACCCTCGAAGAAGGAATAAAATAAGGTAAATAAACTTTTACAAAGTGTTAAAGTAAACTTGAACTCTTTATATTAAGGGTCACAGTTGGCTTATATGCACTACAAAAGCATTAAAAAGGCATTTCTTTATCAAACACTTTACATTTTAACAAACAAGTGAAATATTATTTGTGTGAATTATCTCTGTATCATGATTATTGGTTTCATTGTATAAAGTAGAATTAAATATATTTCATTTGAAATTAAAAACATGTTTCTGGTAGTTAGCTAAATAAATATATCTTTGTGTGCTTTTTGTTAAATGCTAAAAGGCACCCAGGTTTTTGAATAAAATTTGTTGATTTATGCATATGAAGCAAACAATACATACACATAATTAAATGTCAGCCATGCTCTAAGGCTTTAAAACACCTCACTATATAATATTACATAATAGTGATGAGAATGAACAGTTCAGATCGCTGCTGGTGCAGGTTGAAATAATCTGTTTTCTTCTGTGCATTTAATGGAAAATAACTAATATTACATAAAAAATATGTTATTTTACTGTCTCTTGTTTATACTTTATCTTAATTTGTTTCCTTTCATACTGTCAATCATACTGTCTTTCTCTGTACAGTACCAGCTGCAGCTGTTTGTGTGTGTGAGTAAAGGGAAAACAACAGGGAAAGACAATTTCACTATCATCCCTGCATCCTTGGATGTTATCGCACTAACACAGGGTAACAAAAAAACAAAACAGAACAACAACCCTGTTCATTCGTAATTATTCAAATAAAATTTTACACTCTGTTAACTTAAATAATAAAATATTGAAATGAATGGATTTTGTACAGATACATGTTAAATTACAGTCAGAAAGTGACATTGATTTCCAAGAGTGATTCCTTTCTACCCACATACTATACTGGGTGTTTTACACATTTAGAAATCCGGAAGCTGTTCTTAGCAGCCCTGTAGTGTGTTCCTGCTTACTTGACAGTATTTTCTAACCATTGACCATTTTACAGTATGTACCCCTTCCCTAAGACTACACACAATGAAGCAGCACTTAGTGTCCTCCAACAGCGAGGCCTTCCCCTGTTGTCCAGTCGATAATAATGAAGCTCAGACTCATTACCATGAAGGAGAAACCCAAAGCGGCAAAGCAGGCAGCCTAAGAATGATGGGAAAACATTTTGGACTTAACTATCAAGAAGTTGTAAAATGATGTAACATGCATGGCAAATATTTTCATTGCCTCACCATTATCTTAGGAAGAGAGTTCATGGGTTCATCTTCCTTGGGAACAATGCGGATGTAGAAGACAGCAGGGAAGATGAAAATAAGGCAAGGAGCTGATGTGGCGCCTGAAAAATAAAAAAGCATGCAATGCTGTAATAAAACTTTGATAAGAAAAAAATACACGGGACTCATTATTATTTGTTGATGTTTGTTTTCTGTTTTCTAAATTCTCGATCCATTCGTTCTCCTCCAGGGGGTACAGGTCACTAATCTGACACAGGGCTAACACAGAGAGATAGACACCCAATTTAGAATCACCAATTAATCTAACCCCACTAAGTGCATATCTTTGGGCTGTGAGTGGAAGCCGGAGTACCCGGAGATAACCCACACAAACACAGGCAGAACATGTAAACTCCACACAGACAGTGGAGTCAAACTCAGGGCCTTCTTCCTGTGAGGCCACAGTGCTAACCACCGTGTCACTGCTGCCCTTCTGTAAACTTGATTTGTAATTTATACTTTTATTCAGACTTTTTGATTATTTATACAACATATACATGTGCCTAATCCTAATCCCATTCTCCTAATCCCCTCTGTTTTACACGCTAGCACACAAAAAAGCAAAATCTGAAAACAGCTCTATTTATTATATCCTCTATTTTTTTCTGCTTCTGTGCATAGATTCAAAAACAGGTAAACTCTGTACGTAAACCCTTGCTTTGAGGAAGTACCCGGTAGTCCCTAAGGTTAATGTTTTATACTTTTACCTGTAACCTATGAAACATGACCTCAGTCTGAAAACAAAGTGGAACAAAAATATTGACTTAAGCTGTCAGTGTGTCCATGACACTGGTCACGTTTTTAACATTTAATATTTGTTTGTGTGTGTATACAAATGGCAACTGAAGTTACCCATAAATCCAACCTATCAGTTCCCTTACTGCCTCTTGGAGATTTAAGCATTATACCCCCTCTTCTTGAGTCTCAGACTCCAGAGCATAAGAAAAGCATTACTGTTTTGATATTATTCCAACTTTACATTCAGTATTATACACACCAATAATGCCGAAGATTCCCAGAATGTTAGGAGCAAATATCACCAACATGTTAATAAAGGTGAGAAGAATGAGAGCGATGGCAATATGACGTAACCAGCTGAAAGATTTGGTGGGAAATATCATCTGCTGGATGGCTCTACGCACCTGTGGGCAAAAAAAAATCACATTAGAAACACTATAATGTTACAATATTAATTTAATTATTGAATGAAGACTGAAATAAAATGCATCACTTACTGGGAATAGCACAATGGGGACTGTCAGTGTTACAGCAGTAAGGACAGCCACTCGCACACACAGGATCAAAGTGTCGTAAGGATCAATCCGGCTGTATGTGTGCAGTAGTTCAGGCTCCACATTGCCTACAGAAATACCAACAGAAACTAGTTTAGCTGCGCATGAGCTCATTACTCAGCAACTGTGGACAGCATACCATGACAAACAATCTCCACAAGAGGGCGCTTGGGTTCCATGTAACACAGTAGAGGCAAATTCTGTAAAGGATGGAATCATTAAACAAAACAAAACCCCTGATTAGAAAATCTGTCCACAGAGACTCAATTTTTCCATGAAAAAGGTTACTACTAGGTTACTAGGTTACTAAGGTTTATAGAAACCACATTAGATCGTCTGGATGATGGCACTTAATAGCTAATACACAATAACTAACAATTAACAACAAGGAAAAGCTATTCCTTTGCGAGGAAAATGATTTTTATTTTTATTTTTTGCAAGATTTGTAAAGTATAATGAACATTTTAACACCGTATCTGAGTTGCCCCTCTAAAAAAACGAATCTCCCTAGTCAAATATTTTCCAGCCCAAACTAGATTCCTTTTGTCTTACTTAATAATAACAAACATCTATCACTGTTCTGTCCACTTGATATGAACACAGCCATTTGTATTCGTCCGCTGGTACTGAAACACCAATCGTAAAAGAAATGTCAGGGAAAATTGCCCTCACCATAAAAAGTCAGGTAGCCAAAGAGAGCTGCCAGAAAGTACATGGTGTACATGATTAAGATGGAAATGTTGGACACCTTCTGCATCTTCTTCTTTGATGGGCTAAAATCAAAGAGTGGACATTAATGCCACATTTTGCACTGAGATGTTATCAAACATTGCAGGTTACAGATGGGCGACTCACTTGCGTAGCTCAGTGTAGATGGGCAGGACCTCAGGGTGGCAAACAAAAGCGAAAGCCAAAATTGGGATGGTGTATGCTGTCTGTTAAGAGACACATAAACACATGACTGTCTATTATTAGCAGTGCAGTTGAGCTTCCCCGCATACATGTGTGGAAACTAGCAAATACATTTACAGCATCTCAGCATCTCTGGCTTTCAATATTCAAAAGCGATACAGATCCACAGATACAAACGGTTCTTCATCTCAGCCGCCTACCTGTGGGTTGATGGTGAACATGCGTGGGGTGCAGTGGGAGTCATCATCCTCGTGAACCACACCGTTGTTGTACTCATGGATATGGACTGAATCGTTCAAGCTGAGGTGGGAAGCGGTACCATTCACTGAGAACTCCTCAAAGGGGCAGGGAATCTGAAACTTCTTGAAGATGACCTGCAAATGTGGCAACATGTGGAAGAACAAACAGGAATATCATGAAAAATAAGGATAAGGTGATATGTCAGTCATTAAAAAAACATCCTCCAGTTATCAACAACTACTTAGAAAAACCATTTCAATCTAGATTAGGGCCACTCAGCCTCTAAGTAGACAGATTTAACTTTGAACCTCTGATGTCTGTAGTAGCTCTTATATTAGCCTTATCAAACACTGACACATTCCACCAAAAATAGAGACAAGGATGGGAAAGTTAGCAACATAAAGTGTACGCCAGGAAGGCATGCCAGAGCAAAAGAGGCTCTGTGTGCGCAGTGACTGTGATGATGTGCCACTGTGTGTGTTGGACCAACTTACTGCAGTGAGAAAGAACACCATGCAGCTGAGAGAAAACCCGCTGGTGTAGCCAAGGTAACCTGAAAATAAAGAGAACGGGAAAATTCATAACTGCTCCTCAGACTGAATTCATATGTTGTTTGGAACCACTATTAACTGCATTAGCTTTAGATGCTTCTTGTCATAAATGAAGCTACTGCAATAACATCCTGAAAATGTACAGAGTGACCTCACAGCACTGTGAGGGCAAAGACGGCATGTTTATACTGTGTATTAACGAGCAGAATATGCCGGAATTGAGAGTGCGATTATGTCAGGAGAAATTATTTTTAACTGAACAGCCCGCTGTTTTCGCTGTGAGGGGTAGGACAAGAACGCACTAATTGCTTGACTGCAATGTACATACCTTTGCCTTCAAGAATTATTAGATAAGTTGGATTAATTTCAAATAATCTTAACTGATAACTTCTAAGTATAGAAAATATTTCTTGAACACAAACTGGCAAATGCACGAGTTAGATAAATGCACTGCATGAAAACAACCCAAAACTCAAACCCACTACTCTGGAGTATAATGAAAAGGAGCAAAACTACTTTAAAGAAGCTATGTTACAACGAGTAGCTGAATAAAAGGACATTAACTGTTAATACAGACTGTAAACACATAATACTTGTTATGCAGGAACCTTGCCCAGCTGCCATGGAGATCCATTTTAAACAGAAAAAACATTTAATTAAGTTAAAAATAAAAATAAAAAGTAAGTCAAACTGTAAATTTAAGTGAAGACAACATAAATATTTTATATTATTTCACTAGCTATTGATTATTAGTATATTACATACTGTATTATATTATTACTTTTTTTTTTTTTTACTCTTAGGGAATTCAAATAATCTATTATTTATATTGGAAAGTTAAGCCCGCTGGTGATGTGTACATGGTCCTGGAAGTCTGGCTAGACTCACAGATCAGTGAATTTGGCTTTTTTATTTGCTTCAAGCTTATCTTTTATCTCTGGTCACTGTGTGTGCAGAAAACACCTATACATTCATCTATATGCAATTGCCCACTCGCTTTAATATTGTGTCAGCAATAAGGTTAAAGTTGCCTTAGTGGTCTGATTCAAAAGAGGATGTTTTTGTTTTTGTTTTCTTTTTTAACAGCAGGGCAACTGTAGGGAGAAAAAACATCATCACTGTCTGATGTATGCATTAGATCACATGTTAGCTGATTCTGATAATGGTTTTGAATGACTGCTGAAAACTCATTTTTATAGGTTAGCTTTCCCTTAATCCTCATCCCTTTATTTTTGGCCATAGTTTACAGCTATTTGCTTATATGTCTGAATGAGCTTCTGACCATATGTTCGATTGTGTGCCTGTTTATGTGTCTGTACATTCGAACGTGCATATTTATCTTTAATATATGGCTTTTATTCAAACTGTGGAGCAATTTGTAGCTGTGACAGTTTTCTAATATCTGTAAAAAGATATTATTATAGCATGTTCCAACACACTAACAGCTTTCTTTGGTAAATGGAAGTGGAAAACAGTACTCCCATAACAAAGATATATTTACATTATACTCACCAAGCTGTTTCATTAAAGCAAGGGGCAGGATGATACTGGCAGAGACCATGATGACCAGGTAGTTTCCGTTCAAGTACCACAGACTGTTTGGAGAAAAATCTAGTTTATTTTGGTAAGAGTGTGTGGTGGTAACATATTTCTTCATTCTGTACATGTAGCATAGAGTTAGTGCTGTTTTTGTACTTTTAAAAATGTCAGTGCGGCTAAATCTGTGACACAAGGCTGTTAAAAATCTGTTGGTCCAAATGGCTGATGTACCCCATTTTGTCAGGCCAACAGTAACCTGTTGGGAACACCCTTGGCCGCAAGATTGTGGAAAAAATGTGTCTGCTTATGTTACTCTCGACAGAAGTACTAGAATAGTGTGTTGCATAACTCAGATTATTTATATGACAGGTCACAGTTGCAGTAAAGCAAAACACTATGGTGCCTAAACATCTTAGGACTGAAGAAGTCAGCAAATGTTACCAGTATAAGCTTAAAGTCCCTGTCAGACACTTTATCCTCTCTTTCAAACAGAAAAAAAGACATCAGACAAGTATTAGTGTTCACATTTACAGTCTCCTTCTACAGCTCTGCTAGTTTGTCATCATCAGACATGTCCTCACTCTGAACAAATATCTTGTGAAATTCATTCAAAAAGAAATATCTCTGTTGTGCAACCTCAATAGCTGAGATTACATGTATATGTTTATTCTAAGGACATGTAGACAAATGTTAGTGTTACAGTGGCTTCGTACTTCTGTGTTAAATCTACACCGTGGTATCTGTCATATCTGCAAACCCTGCTGAAACCCTGCACTGTAAACTATCTTGTAACCCACGCAATAACCTACACTGTAAACTATCTTGTAACCCACGCCATAACCTACACTGTAACCTGTGTCATAACCTGTTGTTGTTGTTGACACATCCTGTGCAGGTTCAGAGGGTGCAAACCTGCGAAGGTTTATTCTCCAATTGACTAAATAACAGTACTAGTAATTATCAAAATCATTATTTATGGGTTGTTGTTTTTTTAAGTTTAATTATAATTTTTTTTTACTGTTGTTATCATCAATTTTTCAAATTTACTATTTTTCAGAAAAAGCAGAAAAAATAGTAAAAGACATTCTTATATTTTATCAAGATACAGTTATTTACCTACCAATCAACTGCGCCTGCTCAAATTTGGGTATAAAAACATTATTTCCTTTTGTTATTTGCCCAAAGAACAGCTCTAAATTTGAGTTTTAAATACGTTTTGCACAGATTACTGAAATATTTGTGTTTTATTGTTTTATGACAGGTGGTCTAATAACTTTGTTAACCACTGTATAAATGCTGACACTCAGTTGTCAGGTGTTAGGGTGCAGTTAGAGATGCTGCAGAGAGTCTGACTTCTTTTATGATATAGCTTTTATCGATTTGACACTGTGATCCAGCTGTATAATAAAGGATGGACATAATATATTTAAGTTTTAAAAACATTTATTTGTCTTTAATCACTACTCAAATCATCAGTTATACTAAATGGAATGCAGTGGCATCTATATGACTTTTTTCCAGTGGGACTAATCTATCTAAGCACTTTACAGTGCCTTTTTTATACTTACCGTATCCATACAGCGAGTTATTCTGTGAACTTTAGCGCTTTATCTACCTGGCATCTGCTAAGTGAATATAAATAAATGAATGTGGTGAAACAGCATGTTTATAGTCATTTTACCTGTCTAAACTTAAAACATCAGGAGCTGTAGAGCCAAATGGTACCACACAAACGTGCAGTTTAAAGTCAACTGTCTCTTAAATCCTGTGCATAGGAAAGTCTTTGTCCCCTAAAGCCTGTTTCTCACTGCTAAGCCTGTTATTCTTAACCCTGCAAGAAACACAATGAGTAGGATCGGCTGTCTGCCACAGTCCTACATGCTGGAACACAGTGTGATCTATGACACTACCAGTGTTTATTTGTGTATGCATGTGTGCATGCGAATTTGGGCGAGTCACTTAAAAGCAGGGGAAGTTGCACAAATCATAGGTCATGTCTTCTTTGGCCTTTTAGGCGGTAGGTCAAATGAGAGCAGCTTTCACATGCAGGTGCACTTGCACTTGGGACAAGTTCTGTCCAGTCAAGTCTAGAGTTCAAATCCAAGTTCAGTCAAATGAAGTCTTTGGAAGTAGACTGTGTTAGTCTGACTAGCAGTATTTTAACATTTAGCTTCCAAAGTTGCATTAGCAGTGACAATAGTGACAATACAAACAGTTTTGGTTTTCTCTCCCTCAAAATTAGTTTTTGATTTAACTTTCACTGTTCTCATAGAGTGACAACCCTAGGTTGGATTAACAGATTTTTTTATAGAACCGAATGGCAGACAGAAAAAAATCAACAAAGTAGCTACTGTTTCCAAATGTCTCAGCCTCTCTGCATTTGAACATGATGGACATCACTGGACCCTTTATATTTTGCCAAAAAAAACTTTCCCATACCCTACATAAAACAACACCAACCAATTCAGATCTACTTTAGCACTGGCACAAACTACTTAAACTCAGGCAGAGTGAAAGGCACTTGGCTGTCTCTCCACCACACGATAGCTTTCTAATTCAAGAGCCACTAGTCATAAATAAAACTGCAGACCCACTACACACCCCTCATTCCTCTTAGTTGCTGTGACGCCATGAATTTGGACAACAAGGTTCATCGAGTGGACATGAACACAGTGTGCCTCCGTTGCTAAAGGGCTGGCCCTGAGCTGACCTATCCTCAGCCTCAGAATTTGGCACCCCATTTTACACCACCTGCTGCTGTCATTTATGTGTGTGTGTGTGTGTGTGTGTGTGTGTGTGTGTGTGTGTGTGTGTGTGTG